CCAGAGCAGAGATTGACAGCTCTGCATATTCAGGCTCGCAGGGTGCTAGAGTCACTTGACCTTTACTGAATGCAATATATCAGAAACATTTCTCAAAACCTCCTTGCAGGTCATCGACAGTTCTGTTAATAAGACACGAAATGATGTTCTGTATGTATTAATTCTTCATTGTTTGCCAGAAAATTTTTCGACAAAGTCTGCTATCTTGTTACTAACTATTAATTTTTAGGGGGAAGAGTTTATTAGTCAGTACATACGCCGTAAGAGAAGTATAATACAAAATGTAGAAAGTCATCGTACAAAACAATTTCAGGTACCTTTTTCATGCCAAGGGTTAAAGATCAAAGATGCTTCCTCAAAAGAGTTCATGATCCACATACAAGGCAAGGATGGCAACCCAGGAATCCAGATTCCTCTTCTATATTTTCTGGAACAAGAAGTCAGAGTCCGCCTAACAGCTGCACCCCCGTACATTTGGAGCAAACTTTATTCCCACTAAGTCATCGCCACGAAACCCAGTTTTCAGAGCCTTACTGTGAATCTGCTTCCCTGAGTCTGGCATTTGCAGGAGTCAAGGGTAGAAGCGTATAGAATCAAGAATAGAAGTTGAGATAGTTTTGTTCCGTCGTTGGGTTTGGTCCTCGGAGTGGGCTCTCGTTTGAATACATTTAAAAATAAGATATGCATGTGAGCATGAGCTCTAAATTGAGCATGTAGGAGCTCTAGCATTGAGATAATTTTGAATGAAATTTGGATTGATTTAAAATCAGACTCAAAGCTATGCTCAATAGTCAATAGAAATCGTTCTTCATCAAATTTATATCAATAGTTTGAGCCTACGCCAACAATGTAATCTTTCAATTATTAAAATTTTTTGTTTTATATTTAAATATCGTGAATTCAAATCTCGAATTCATTATATTAGAAAGCAAAGTACCCGATGCTTACTTACTGTTTGAACGAACAAAGGGAAATGTTAGCTTTTTGTAATTCATCAAGCTGTTCATAAGATCTACGAGATTATGTTAAAAATTAATATATCTTTTCGACGAAAACTCGAAACTTTTTTTAGTCGAACTTGATTTCATCACTATTTAAGTTTAGTTTAGTGTGGGTGTTTTGAAAGCCTTAACCAAATTCTTAATGCAAGAGAGATTTTTGAACATAAAAGTTAAAAGTATGACCGACAATGTAGAGGAGGGGAGGATCTCTGT